TTGCTGAAAGTGAAGAGGACTTGAAGTACTTACTGATGAAGATCAAAGACCACAGCCTTCAGTACGGATTACACCTCAATATAAAGAAAACAAAAATCCTCACAACTGGACCAATAAGCAACATCATGATAAACGGAGAAAAGACAGAAATTGTTAAGGATTTCATTTTATTTGGATCCACAATCGATACCCATGGAAGCAGGAGTCAAGAAATCAAAAGATGCATTACATTGGGCAAATCTGCTGCAAAAGGCCCCTTTAAAGTGTTGAAAACCAAAGATGTCACCCTGAAGACTAAGGTGCACCTGACCCAAGTCACAGTGTTTTCAATTGCCTCATATGTATGTGAAAGCTGGATGCTGAATAAGGAAGATGAAGAAAAACTGATGCCTTTGAATTGTGGTTTTGGTGAAGAATTCTGAATATACCATGGACTGCCAAAAGACAAAAGAATGAACAAATCTGTCTTGAAAGAAGTATAACCAGAATGCTCCTTAGAAGCAAGGATGGCAAGACTACGTCTCACATACTTTGGACATGTTATCAGGAGGGATGAGTCCCTGGAGAAGGACATCATGCTTGGTAAAGTAGAGGATCAGCGAAAAAGAGGAAGACCCTCAAAGATATGGATTAACACAGTGGCTGCAACAATAGGCTCAGGCATAACGATTGTGAGGATGGCACGGGACCGGGCAGTGTTCTGTTCTGTTGTACACAGGGTAACTACGAGTCAGAACTGAGTCAATGGCACCTAACAACAACAACAGGTCACAGCATATAATCCATTCAATATGCTTGCTGTTCAATGGAGAGCTCTCCCCGTGCGTTCCCTTCCCTCAGGGACTGTGTTCTGTCCTATCATCCATTGCCTGAAAACAGCTACCTCGTATGGTTTCTCCAGTTTTATAGACATTCACAGTGGGAGAGTAAATTTCTTGTTCAACTACTTCTCTATCCCTTGCCTGGAATCTTATGATAACTTGTCTCTGGCCAACATGCTTGATTTCTCGAACATTTTTCTTTCTGTTTTCCAATGGTCATGGAACAGGCTACAAATTCTTGAGAGAGGGGTTTGGCCATTCTTGGCAGTAACTGTCTCTCAGTGGTCTACAAGCACTTAGCACAGAACTTAACCAACTAGGAAACTTACAGGCATCTAAAGTGCCAGTCAGCATTAAGGCTGCTTTTGTCCACAGTAAAATTTCTCTGGCTACTTAAAAGCTTAATAGTAACAACGTAATTCAGAAGCCTCGGTATCTTCATTCAAATAATAATTTGTCCAGAAAATGATGTGTGCATATGGACCCTGTTGGTCATCATTTTAAAAGAAATAACAGTAACAATAACAGCCTGCTGTTGTTGTTCTTGTCAGGTCCTGTCGAGTCAGTTCTAACTCATAGTGACCCTATGTACACAGAACAAAATACTGCCTGGTCTCACACCATCCTCCCAATCTTGGCTGTTTGAGCCCATTGTTGCAGTCACTGTATCAATCCATTTTGTTGAGGGTCTTCCTCTTTTTTGCTGACCCTCTACTTTACCAAGAGACTGGTCCCTCCTGATAACATGTCCAAAGTATGCAACACGAAGTCTCGCCATTCTCCCTTCTAAGGAGCGCTCTGGCTGTACTTCTGAGACAGGTTTGTTCATTCTTCTGGAAGTCCATGATATATTCAATATTCTGCACCAACAACATAATTCAAAGGCATCCATTATCCTCTGGCCCTCCCTTTATTGTCCAGGTTTCATATGCATACGAAGCAACTGAAAATACCATGGGTTGGGTCAAGCACACCATAATCCTCAAAGTGACATATTTGCTTTTTAACACTAGAAAGAGGTCTTTGGTGGCAAATTTGCCCAAGGCAATGAGGCGTTTGATTTCTTGACTGCTGCTTCCATGGGTGTTGACTGTGGAGCCAATAAAATGAAATCCTTGACAAACTTCAATCTTGTCTCCGTTTATCATGTTGTTTGTTGGTGCAGTTGTGAGGATTTTTGTTTTATGTTGAGGTGTAATCCATACTGAAGGCTGCAGTCTTTGATGTTCTTCAATAAATGCTTCAAGTCCTCTTCGCTTTCAGCAAGCAGTGTTGCGTATCTGCATATAGCAGATTGTTAATGAGTCTTCCTCCAATCCTGATGCCCCATTCTTCTCCATATAGTCCAGCTTCTTGGATTTTTTGCTCAGCATACAGACTGAATAAGTGTGATGAAAGGACACAACCCTGATGCACACCTTTTCAGATTGGAAAGCATACCATATCCCCTTGTTCTTTGAGGACTAAGGTATGCCTGACCAAAGCCATGATATTTTCAATTGCCTCATATGCATGTGGAAGCTGGACAATGAATAAGGAAGATCTAAGAAGAATGGACACTTTTGATTTATGGTGCTGGACAAAAATACCAAAAATATCATGGACTCCTAGAAAAACGAACATATCTGTCTTGGAAGAAGTACAGCCAGAATGCTTCTTAGAAGTAAGGATGGCGAGACTTCGTCTCATGTACTTTGGACATGTTATCAGGAGGGATCAGTCCCTGGAGAAGGACATCATGTTTGGTAAAGTAGGAAAAAAAACCAAAACCAAACCCACCGCCGTCTTCCGACTCATAGCGACCCTATAGGACAGAGCAGAAATGCCCCATAGGGTTTCTAAGGAGCACCTGGTGGATTCGAACTGCTGACCCTTTAGTTAGCAGCAGTGGCTCTTAACCACTATGCCACCAGGGTTGCCGGTAAAGTAGAGGGTCAGCAAAAAAAAGGAAGACCCTCAAGATGGACTGACACAGTGGCTGCAACAATGGGCCCAAGCATAACAATGATGGGGAGGATGGCACAGGACTGCGCAGCATTTCGTTCTGTTGTACATAGGGTCGCTATGAGTCGGAACTGACTTGACTGCACCCACCAACAACAACATTTTTATGGCAATATACCAAAATGAAAACAAACATTTGAACCAAGTTCACAGTCTATCCTGGGGAAAATAATCCAAAAATGTTACGAATTAAAATATTCTTTGAAGGAGTATTTATACAAACAGAAATTTAGTTAAAAATTAAATGCTCAAGGGAAAAAATTCTATTAATCAATAAATTACTCATTTCTCCTGGCTAGCTTTATGGAAAAAAAGCCAGTTAGATCACTATGTTACATCACATACCACAGCAAATTTCAAATAATTAAGAATTTAAAAGAGAAATGATAAAAAGTACTACCTGAAAATATGCATGTTATCACAATGGAAAGGATTAACAGCTATTTATCTACAGTTACTTATAAAAAAATTAAAGGCTTCCATATCTCAAAAACCACCAAAACAAAATAAAGGACTAACTACAAACTTGGAACAGTATTTGTAAAATATCTGACAAACAGTTGTTATTTGTCACCTGTGAAAAGCTCTTATGAAAATCAAAGATGAAAACAGGAGTACATCAATAGAAAAATGAATAGAGGACATAAGGAAACAATTTACAAAATTAAAACCATAGATGTTCAATAACTATATACAAAGTAATTTTCACTCTAACAAAAGAAAATTAAAATAATTTTTTAAAACTACTTTTTTTGCATATCACATCGTTAACCTATAAGAAAACTGTAACACTCAGCATTGAAATGGGTACGAGGGGGTGTATTTTCAGGCGTCCAGTGTGAGGCTTCCCAGGTAACACGCAGGGTCTCCAACGTGCCCACGATGGGGGCTGCCACTCAGTAACGGGCCTGGCTCACGGCCTGCGGTGAGGTTCCACCGGCGCCTCCAACTAGTTGGTCAACAAAATTCACCGGGAATGACATTGAGGGATGTGGACGGGCTGAGAGCCAGGAGCCAAGGGCCACAGGGGAATGCGACTCTACACTGCTCGGTGTGGCTGGGTGACTGTCTCCTTCGTTTCAGTAGCTTGTACTTTCTCTGCATTAATTCTGGTTGACTTTTATAATCAGAAAAAAAGACTTTACTAAATTAATAAAAAGATTAAGTTGAGGCTAGCACAGTGCCACGGGCACTGGTCTGGGCACGGCCTGGTGGGTGGAGGGTGTGGAGGCGACCCTGTTCAGACACGGCCATCTCCACCGGCACCGGCCTAGTCTACCCTGGACCCATGGCTCATGACTGACGGGGGATTTTAGTTCTCAGGTGAGAATTTCCCTGGACGAGCCGGCAGTGGCATTTCCATTCCTCAAACCACACCTGGTCCTTCCAGTGGCCTTGAGTACTCCATGGACACCCCGCGCCCCAGCTGACAAAAGCCACGCCGGCTGTACTCTCGGGCACCTCTGATGGTGGGGTGGTGCTGGAAACACACGCCCCGTCTTCTTCCGGAGGAACCACAGGGTGAGCGGAGCTGACACACGCACCCCACACGCAGTCTCCACTCACTGCACACACACCATGCAACGGGCTCTCTGCGGGGTCTAAGTAGGACTCTTTTAAACATATTTCCTACGTGCACGCTCTTGAGGAGCCAAGGCTTGCATGCACTGGCTGTGGGCCTGGGTGGGCCCTCCACCTGCCATGAGGGCAAGAGCCCCCACCCCAGCCTGCAGTTGTGGTGAGCAGCACAATGTGGAGACCGCTACAGATGCCAGAGGTGGTCACCCTCCTTGTCTTGCTCCTGAAACGTGGGCCCGGCTCACCCTCCTGAACACATCCCTTCCCGAAGCCGGTGCACAGATGGGCACATGCCAACAAGCTTGTCCCCATGGCCACACCGTGGCTTGGCGCCCTCCCTCACACCTCAATGCCTGGTGCGGCCACTCTGCCTCCTGCCAGATTTCCCAAGTGTGCACCACGCACAGTGCTGAACAGCTGAAACATCCACCCAGCAAAGTCCTCGCAGCTGCACTCTCTACAAACCAGGGTCATGGGAGGTGAGGTGAACCCCCTGCACACAGCCAGCGTTTAGGGTGCAACTCACCAAGGAACCAGCCCCCTAACTGGCAGGGGACATGTCTAGACACAAAGGCAGTGACAGGGATGTGCACGCACCTTGGGGTCCACGAGTGCTCCCGCCTTGATGAGGTACTTGACTGCGTCCAGGTGGTTGTTCTCCGCAGCCTCCATCAGTGGGGTTCGCTGGTCCTCAGAACAGGTGTCAATGTTGGCGCCCGCCTGGAACACAGACAGGTGAGAGTGGACTGCGGGGCACCTGTCATCGCCCAAGGGAGGTGCACATGCTGCAAGCGTCTGAAAGCAGATCTGACGGACGGCACTACAGTTGCTTCCAATGATCAGCTAAACTGGGCCTGTCACAATGAATCCAGGAGCAGACTATTCTCTTACTCTGCCCCTTTAGTTCCTGAGTGGTGTTCTTCCTAGACTTCATTTCTCAATAAAGAACACAGCTTCCTCCAATGCTAATATCTTACACAACCAGAGGACACCCCAAAACCAGAAAGCTGGCACTGGCACCCACCATTAACTGCACACAGACATCCCTGCAATGCCACCATTTCCACATGGACTCAGGTCATTTTTTTGTTTTGCTAGAAATAGACAACACTGACCCACGCTGCTGAGGCTCCCTTCTTGGTGGAGAAAGCAACAAGGGGATGATGGGACAACAAAGGTTGGGACAGCCCCAGCTCGGGGAGGGAGGGTGGGAGCATGTCTAGGTGCAAGCAGGGTTCTGATTCTTGACCTGAGTGGTTATGCTGGGGTTCATTTCATAATTTTAACTTTTCTGTATGCATACCGTGTATTTGTTAAAGATATAAACACACACAAAAGAAGAAAAAACAAAGAGAAAACATTCTTTCCCAGGAGGACACACTGCCTTCTAAACAGAAAGGATGGGAGCTGCAGATGGTGGAAGTGCTTCTTGAATGAGCTGAGAGAAAACAACCGTCACCTAGAATTCCAAATCCAGGAAAAGTATCTTCCGAAGGGCCTCCACATGCCATCACCAAGCAACCCTAACCCTGTGTCTTAGACTGGGTTCTTCAGAGAAGCAAAACCAACAAGGTGTGTGTGTGTGTGTATATACATACATATACATACATATCTATATAGATTGATCTCAAGGCTGGCAAGTTCCAAGTCTGTGGGTCAGGCATCAGGGTGGAGGCTTCTCTTAACTCATGTAGCTGCAGGAGCTGATGGACCCAAGTTCAGCAGGTCAGATAGCAGGCTGCTGGCTCATGGGCTACAGAGGCTAACAAATCCAAGATCAGCAGGGGTCAGATAACGAAGAGCCAGATGCGGGATCCAGAGCCAGCAAGTGAACTTTGCCAGAACGTCCATATATATATATTGGATGCAGGCCACACTCACAAGGAAACTCCCCTTACAAATTGGCTGATCACATCCGATCACATCATGAAGGAAAACATTACTACATAACTGCCAAAAAGTACATAATTATGTAACTGTCAAACATGGTCCAACAAGTTGACAAGCAACTTTAATCATCACAGTCCACCCCTTGTCAACTTGGCACCTGTACACATCTCCTTAAACCACACACAATCTCCAAATAAAGTCCATTACCAAGTCATACCTGCACTAAACACAATACAACATATGTACAACCAAAAACACACTAGCCCCGTTTACATCTTATATTTCATAAATGAAGAAAACAAAAATATTTGAGGCACACATACAAGGAAGAAATACAACAATTACAGTCTTCATTTCTAAAACTGGTCACATGGTACTAACAAGTATTTAGAACTACCTTTTCCCACCACCCATTCCGTATTTCCTTTACCTTTAGCAAGCACCTCAGGTGGTCGTGGCTCTTTGCCTGGTTGAGTGACCCAAACCTTTATCCCTGAAGGGTCTGGGCTCTTAGCAGTCATGCTGGAATCGAGTTGCTGCAGTTATCCACTGACTTTAATCACAGGACATGGTAGTACTAAGAGACATCCTAAGGGATCTCCTGTATTCAAGACATACTCTTTTTTATCTCCATTATGCAACATCAATCTGATTTCCCCTTGGTAGTCAGGGTCAATCACACTGGTCAATATGGTAACTCCCTTCTTTGCCTGTTGTTCCAGAGGCATAAGGAGCCCAAAGTGGCAGGATGGCATTCTTAACTTCTGCTTCAAATGAATCAGTGTTGTGTCGCCTGGTGGGAGCATTCCTCCCTTTGGAACTAAGACCTCTAGACTCGCAGCGCATAGAGATGTGGGGACAGGAAACAAAAATTTTGGGAGTCAGTCACCAAGGGTAATAGTGTGTGGTGCCGCTCCCATCTCCACCCCTTGATTCCTGGAACCGTGAATCTTGGCTGTGGGAGAAATACCACCATATATTGGACACTGGTTTAGAGCCTCCTAGATAACACTGCCCCAACCCTGTAAGGTACTGACACATAGCTGGCACCATAATTGTGTCTTTAGAAGGCCATTCCACTGTTCTACTAAGTCAGCTGCTTCAGGATGACAGGGAACATGGTAAGATCAGTGAATTCCATGAACACCGGCTCAGTGTTATACTTCATTTTCTATAAAGTAAGTCCCTTGATTCAAGGTGATGCTGTGTGGGATACCATGACGGTGGATAAGGCATTCCGTGAGTCCACGGATGGTAGTTTCGGCAAAGGCACTGCATACAGGAAAGGGAAATCCTTATCAAGAGTAAGCATCTAGCCCAGTGAGAACAAAATGCTGTCCTTTCCATAATGGAAGTGGTCCAATGCGATCAATCTGCTACCAGGTTGCTGGCTGATCGCCTCGAGGAATGATGCCATATCGGGAACTCAATGATGGTCTCTGCTGCTGGCAGAATTGGCCATTCAGCAATAGCTGTAGCCAAGTCAGCCTTGGTGAGTGGAAGTCCAAGTTGCTGAGTCCACGCATAACCTCCATTCCTGCCATGATGGCCATTTTGTTCATGAGCACATTGGGCAATGACAGGAATAAAGAGTTCGATTGGTTTCCACAGAACACGTCACTCCATCCTCTTGGCTATTAAAATTCTCCTCTGCCAAGGTCACCCTTTGGTGAGCATTCACATGAGATGCAAATATCTTCATTTCTTTGGCCCATTCAGAGAGGTCTATCCACATACCTCTTCCCCATACCTCCTTGTCTCTAATTTTCCAATCATGTTCCTCCCAAGAACCTAAAAATCCAGCCAAACCACTGGCCACAGTCTATAAATCAGTATACAATCACACATCTGGCCATTTTTCCTTCCAAGCAAAGTGAACAACTAGGTGCACTGCTCAAAGTTGTGCCCACCAGAAGGAGTTTCCTTCACCACTGTCCTTCAGGGAGGTCCCAGAAAGGGGCTGTAGTGCTACCGCTGTCCACTTTGAAGTGGTACCTGCATATTGCACAGAACCATCTGTAAACCAGGCATGAGTTTTCTCTTCTTCAGTCAACTGATCATAAGGAACTTCCCATGAGGCCACAGATGCAGACTGGGAGAGGGCAGATAATATGACAGGAGTAGAGACCATGGGCATTTGGGTCACTTCCATATGTAACTTCCTTGTGCCTTCAGATCCTGCTCACACCCAATCTCGTATATACCACTTCCATTTAATGATGGAGTGCTGCTATGCATGTCCTACTTTATGACTCTATGGGTCAGATAACACCCAATTTATGATGGGAAGCTCAGGCTGCATGGTGACTTGGTGGCCCATGGTTAAGCATTCAGTCTCTACTAAGGCCCAGCAACAAGCCAAAACTGTTTCTCAAAGGAGAGTAGTTATCTGCAGAAGATGGCAGGGCTTTGCTCCAAAATTCTAAGGGTCTGTGCTGTAATTCACCAATAGGGGCCTGCCAAAGACTCCAAACAGCATCCCTAACTGCTACTAACACTTCAAGCACCATTGGATCAGCTGGATCATATGTCCCAAGTGGCAGAGAAGCTTGCACGGCAGCCTGAATCTGTTGCACAGCCTTCTCTTGTTCTTGCTAATCAAAATTAGCAACTTTTTGAGTCACTTAACATGCTGGAGTAGCACACCCAGATGAAGAATATGCTGCCTCCAAAATCCAAAAAGGCCCAAGAGGCATTGTGCCTCCTTTTTAATTGTAGGAGGGACCAGATGCAATAACTTATCTTTCACTTTATAAGAAATATCTCAACATGCCCCAAACCACTGGACTCCCAGAAATTTCACTAAGGTGGAAGGTGCCTGAATTTTTCCCACCCTCTAGCATGCAAATGTTTTACCAGTAAGTCCAGAGGCATTGACAATTCTTCCTTACTCGGTCTGATCAGCATAACATCACCAATGTAATGGACCAGTGTGACGTACGGTGGATGGCAAAGGCAATTAAGGCCCCTGCAGACTAAATTATGACACATGGCTGAAGAATAGATATACCCTGAGGTATGACACTGAAGGTATATTGCGGGCCTTGCTAGCTGAAGGCAAATGCTTCTGGTGTTCGTTCAAAACTGGAATTGAGAAAAAGGCACTGGCCCAATCAATAGCTGCATACCAGGTACCAGGTGATGTTATTATTAATTTGTTCAAGGAATGAAACCACATCTGGAAGAGCAGCTGCAATTGGGAGTCACCGCCTGGTTAAGTTTTCAATAATCCATTGTCATTCTCCAAGATCCATCTGTTTTTTGCATAAGCCAAATAAGCAAGTTGAATGAGGATGTGGTGGGAATTACCACCCCCGCATCCTTACAAGTCCTTGATGGTGGCAGTAATGTCTGCAATCCCTCCAGGAATGTGGTATTGCTTTTGGTTTTCTATTTTCCTAGGTAGGGGCAGTTCTAACAGCTTCCACTTGGCTTTTCCTACCATAATAGCCCTTACTCCATTTGTCAAGGATCCAATGTGGGGTTCTGCCAGTTGCTGAGTATATCTATTCCAATTATGTATTCTAAACAAAAACAAACAAACAAACAAAAACAAAACCCATTGCCATCGATTTGATTCCGACTCATAGCGACCCTACAGGACAGAGCAGAACTGTCCCATAGGGTTTCCAAGGAGTGGCTGGTGGATTCAAGCTGCCAACCTTTTGGGTAACAGCCGATCGCTTAACCACTGTGCCACCAGGACTCCATTATACATTCTAAAACTAGGGAAATCTTACAGGATGGGTTCAAGGACCCACTGTGAGGCAGACATGAGCTAAGACTCCACTAATAACCTGACTTCCATATGCCCCCTTGTCTTAGTCATCTAGTGTTTCTATAACAGAAATACCACAAGTGGATGGCTTTCACAAAGAGAAATTTATTCTCTCACAGTCTAGTAGGCTACAAGTCCAAATTCAGGGCGCTGGCTCCAGATGAACGCTCTCTCTGTCGGCTCTGGAGGAAGGCCCTTGTTGTCAATCTTCCCATGGTCTGGGAGCATCTCAGTGCAGGAACCTCAGATTCAAAGGACACGCTCTGCTTTTGTGACACTTCGTGGGGGTAGGAGGTCTCTCTGCTCGCTTCTCTCTTTTGTATCTCAAAATAGAATGGCTTAAGACACTATCTAATCTTGTAGACCTCATCAGTAGAACTGCTGATAGTCCATCTTATAACATCACAGTGATAAGTTATATAACTCATAAGGAAATCACATCAGATTACAACATGGTAGACAATCATACAATACTGGGAATCATGACCTAGCCAAGTTGACAAATATTCTGGGGGAGCACAATTCAATCCATGACACCCTCATTCTGACTGGTGGGCCACAGTGATGTTTTGGGTCTCCTGGAATTAGTGTCAGTTCAGAGCTAGTATCCAGCAATCTCCGAAAAGTCTGATTATTTCCTTCTCCTCAATGAACAGTCAGTGTCGTAAAAGGTCGTAGATCCCTTTGGGAAAGACTGGGAGAAAGATTAACAGTATAAATATTTGGCAGTGTAGTGAGATCCTTCCTCAAGGGGACCTGGCCTCCCCTTCATTCATGGATTGTGGGTCGGTAAACTGGCTCCAGTCTGGAATTGACTGAGAGGGCATGATTCTCTATTCTGGTGATTTTAGTTAGACAGTTGTTTACTTGACCTCGAACTCTTCACTTGTACAGATCAAGTAAATATTAAGTAGATTTCCTATCTATTTCACTCCCAAGGATACCATGACTAAGTAGCCAACGCCGTTAAGTCCATATGAGTCAGAGTATTTTCATTACTGTCTTGACTCCACTGTCCATTACAGTAACTATGCCCACCTCGTCTTTGTCGACTGAGTGCCACCACTTGGCCTCTAGCATCACCGGGACCAGTAAATCCCATTATAGTTACGTGTCTTAATTCAGTTAGGGCAGTTCCCACTGTAATCTGCCTTATATAAAACAGCAGTCACAGCAGTCTTCAAGGATGCTGGGGGCTCCCTTCATAAATTTGTTCCGCATCATTGTGGTAAAAGGTGTGTCCTCTGGGCACTTCACGTGTGGGGCTGTGGGTCTAACCTGATAAATCCACTCTAACATGCTTAGTCATCCATTGCTGCTGTATAGAAATACCACAAGTGGATGGCTTTAACAAACAAGTTTATTCTATCACAGTCTAGTGGGCTAGAATTCCAAATTCAGGGCATCAGCTCCAGGGGAAGGCTTTTTCTTTCTGTCGGCTCTGGAGGAAGGTCCTTGTCATCAATCTTTCCCTAGACTAGGAGTTTCTCGGTGCAGGGACCCTGGGTCCAAAGGACACCCTCTGCTCTTGACACTACTTTCTTGGTAGTATGTAGTCCCCATGTCTCTCTGTTTACTTCTCTCTCATATCTCAAAAGAGATTGACTTAAGACACAACCTAACCTTGTAGATGGAGTCCTGCCTCATTAATATAACCGCTGCTAATCCTGCCTCATTAAGATTATGGAGGTAGGATTAATAACACATAGGAAAATCATATCAGATGACAAAACGGGTAACAATCACACATAATTGGGAATCATGCCCTAGCCAAGTTGACATATATTTTTGGGGGATACAGATCAATCCATGACACATGCCAATTTCTCTAAGCCTTCTGACAGCTTCTTCTACAGTATACCAAGGCAGGTATGGTACATTAACTTGATTTAGTGTAGGCTGCCGCATAATCCACGCTTTAGCAAACCAACCAAATAAACTATCAGATCTTTTCCTAACCTCTCCAGCTGAAACACTGTATGAAGAATCTGTGCTTAGTAGGTCCATATCAATAAACTAAGATGTTCCAACTTTATGTTCCTTGCACCATTATCCCACACCTTAATGGCCACTGCCACATACAGTCTCCAGGTTTCTGTTTGTAGACATTAGAAAAGCCAAGCAGTTCTTCTGGAGTGTAGTATACCTCCTCCTGGGTCACACTTTGCACTTCAGCTTTTGGGGCTCGCTGGGGCATCTAAGTCTAGTATATGTACAGGTCTAGAAGCAAAAATGGGTGGGGGGTGCATCCTGGGAACATTCAGCAGTGTCTTATAAGGCATCTACCTCAGGTGATGCCCCCAGGCAATGCCCCAGGCATTGTCCCAGGTGACTCTTCAGACAGAGCTGGGTTAATCTCATCAGATGCGGGTGGAAGGAACAATGGTTTTACAGGGGAGGGTGGCTTAGCAGACAAAGATGGAGTGAACTCTTCAGATGGAGTAAGAGGGCTGGTTCTGTTGGCAGAAGTGATTCAACGGAATTTAGGGACTCAGTGTCCCCAGCTTTCTGGTTATCTTCCCATGTGTTCCCACCCCAAGTTTCAGGTCCCATTTCTTCTCAATCAATGCCCTCAATTTAACTTCAGACACCACTGGAGCCTGGGAATTCAACTGGTGACATAATTCAGCCACTCCTACGATAAGACTCTGAGTTTGGCTTTTGGCAAGAAATAAGGCTTGCTTTCTTTCAGGGAACAAGTGGCAACTTTCAGATCTTTCATGCTGTGAAAGACTGTGACTCTGAAGCCCTGAGCTCATCTCTTTCTTTCATCACTTTGTCTAGCAAAAGTAGGACCAACCAACCATCTTCCCTATACTTCTCATTCTGACAAAACTGTAGAAAAATATCAAACATGCGATCACCAGGGCCTCGCTTCTCACCAATACTTGATCTACTGGTGGTGACATTTTGTGTGTTAATACTGCCACCTCATGCCATGCATTAGTAGTGCCTTCTTTACTACTGGAGGCAGAGTCATCAGGGCCTTTAAGACTAGTCAAACTTGAGCACCAATTTAGACACCTCATCCTTATGATTTTGCTTCTCTAGAACCCCTCTCAGTTCCAAACGTCTTAGGCTGGGTTCTCCACAGAGGCAAAACCAGTAAAACAAACACACACACATACACACACACACACACAGATTTATATCAAGGAAATGGCTCATGAAGTTGAGGAAGCTGGCAAGTCCCAAGTCCATGGATCAGGTGTCAGGCTGGAGGACTGTCCTGACTCACGTAGCTACAAAAACCCAAAACCAATCCTGTTGCCGTCCAGTCGATTCGGACTCATAGCGACCCTACAAGATGGGGTAGAACTGCCCCATAGAGTTTCCAAGGAGTGCCTGGTGGATTCAAACTGCCAATCTTTTGGTTAGCAGCCATAGCTCATAACCCCTACATCACCAGGGTTTCGTGTAGCTATGGGGCTGGCAAATCCAAGATCAGCAGGTCAGATGGCAGGCCACTGACTTACGTGCTGCAGAGGCTGATGCATCCAAGATCAGCAGGTATAACAGCAACCTGCTGGCTCATGCGCTATGGAAGCTGACCAATCCAAGATCAGCAAGCAATAAGGCAGGCAACTGGCTCAAGTCCCAAGAACAAGAGGTCAGACGAAGATGAGCCGGATGCAAGATTCAGAGCAAACAAGCGAACTCTGCCAGAACATCCATATATATTGGATGCAGGCCACACCCCCAAGGAAACTCCTGTTACAACTGATAGGCTGATCACATCAGATCACGTCATGGAGGAGGACATCATTACATAACTGCTTTTCTGTATCATTACACAACTTGCCAAATCACTGAAAATCATGACCCAGCCCAGCTGACACACAACCTTAACCATCATGTCCCAGCACTCACAGCACCCAGGCTCGCGCCACACCGTCAAGCAATGCCCATAGAGCCCACGTCCCTGATGCCGTCCACATGGCTTGGCACATCTGCTGTCCCTCCCACCATGCCCTCTGGACCGCCAGGCCTATCTTCCACTTCCCACACCCTTCATGGCTTCTGGGAAGAAGGTGCAAAGAACATTCCAGCTAAGTCACACTCCCTCTCCTAGTGCACAGCAACCCTGCAGCCCTCTGACAGGGCACCAGTCTCCACTATCACTGTGTGCTACTCTCCTTCCTCGTCCTTCAGCCCTGGAACCATCCATAAGCCTCTGGTCACCCGTGACTCCTGAATAGTTCCAGTGGTGGATATCCACTGATACCTGACCCTTCTGGTTCCCATATCCACTAGGTGACCCTAGGCATCACAGCCCATGTGCCTTGGCCTCCTCATCTCCCAGAAGCCGCCCACCCACGTCAGCCACACACCCTTCGGCTGTCACCAAGAGATGTCTGGCAGTGTGGCCTCTGCAGTGCATCAGGTTTCCCCGGGGATGGTGGGGACGAAGGTTAAAGTCACCTGTATCAGCATGTGGCAGACGTCCACGTGGCCAGCCTCAGCAGCAGCATGCAGTGGACAACGCTTGCTCTGGTGTTCCATCTTGAAGTTGGGGTCAATTCCGTCCACTGCGGGCACATGGTTTCTGTGGTTACTTCACTGGTCACTTCTGACGCAGCCAGGGCACTGCACCCAGGCATCATGAGGAGCCCCGTGTGGTGTCGGGAGCTGACAGGGAGGCCGTGTGGTGATGGAGGAGTGACGGAGAGCCCCACATGCCATAAGAAGAGGGGTGACAGGTTGCCCTATGCGGTGATGAGTGGGTGACAGGGAGCCTTGTGCAGTGTCGAGGGTGATAGTCCCGAATGGTGATGGGGGGTGACGGGGAGACCCGTGTGGTGATGGCGGAGTGACAAGGAGCTCCATGCAGTGTGGCCACAGTAATGGGAGTCCCAAGCAGTGTCAGGGGTCATGGGGAGCCTTGTACAGTGATAAGGGGTGACAGGGAGATCTGTACAGTGTTGAGGGTGACCGAGGGACTCGTGTAACGCTGGGGGCGACAGGGGGCCCCATGCAGTGTCAGTGGTGACAGGAACCCCCTGCAGTGTCAGGGTTAATGGGGAGCCGTGTGCAGTGTCACGACGTGCGGCCCTGTGCAGTGCTGAGGGTAATGGGGACCCCTGTGCAGTGCTGAGGGTAATGGGGACCCCTGTGCAGTGATGAGGGTAATGGGGACCCCTGTGCAGTGCTGAGGGTA